GGGGTTAAAATGGGGTTAAAATGGGATTTAAGAGTCCCAGGCTGAAGCCCAGGTCCTCCTGGTAGGCGTCCTCCTCGATCTGAGGGGGAAAAACGGGGTGAAAAATGGGGAAAACGGGAAAAAATGGGTGAAAAATGGGATTTTGGGGGGTTAAAATGGGGTTAAAATGGGATTTTGGGGGGTTAAAATGGGATTTATGGGGGTTAAAATGGGGTTAAAATGGGGTTTGGGGTCCCAGGCTGAAGCCCAGGTCCTCCTGGTAGGCGACCTCCTTGATCTGGGCGGGAAAACGGGGTGAAAAACAGGAAAAACAGGAAAAAATGGGTGGAAAATGGGTGAGAAATGGGGGGAAATGAGTGAAAAATGGGATTTTCGGGGATTAAAATCGGATTTTAGGGGGTTAAAATGGGGTTACAATGGGGTTTGGGGTCCCAGGCTGAAGCCCAGGTCCTCCTGGTAGGTGTCCTCCTCGATCTGGGGGGAAAATGGGGTTAAAAGTGGGAAAAACAGGAAAAAAATTATAAAATAGGATTTGCAGGGGTTAAAAGGGTAAAAAATGAGATTCTGGGGGTTTAAAATGGGATTAAAGGAAGGAAAATTGGATTTAAGGGTCCCAGACTGAAGCCCGGGTTTTCCTGGTAGGTGCCCTCCTTGATCTGAGGGGAAAATGGGGTTAAAAATGTGAAAAAGAGGCAAAAATACACAAAAATAGGTAAAATAACAAGATATAGGGGAGTTAAAATGGGTTTTAGTGATAAAAATTGGGATTAAAGGGGGGAAAATGGGATTTTTGGGTCCCAGGTGGCCCAGGCCGAAGCCCGGGTTTTCCTGGTAGGCCTCCCTTGATCTGAGGGGAAAATGGGGTTAAAAATGGGAAAAAAGGGAAAAAATGAGTGAAAAATGGGATTTTGGGGGTTAAAAATGGAATAAAATGGGTTTTGAGAAGGTTAAAATGGGGTTTAGTGATAAAAATTGGGATTAAAGGGGGAAAAATGGCATTTTTGGGTCCCAGGTGGCCCAGGCTGAAGCCCGGGTTTTCCTGGTAGGCCTTCCTTGATCTGAGGGGAAAATGGG